GCTAATGAAATTGAGAATGTAATTGGGTCCTTGCCCACCAAGAAGAGCCCAGGCCCAGATGGATTCACTGCAGAATTCTACAAGAAATATAAAGAAGACCTAATGCCGACACTCCTCAAACTATTCAATGAAATTGAAAGGGAAGAAATCCTTCCTAAGTGATTCCTGGAAGCAAATATTACTCTAGTACCAAAACCTGAGAAAGACCCAACTATAAAAGAGAACTATAGACCGATCTCCCTAATGAACACGGATGCAAAAATCCTCAATAAAATATTGGCAAATAGGATCCAGCAAATCATCAAGAAGATTATACACCATGACCAAGTGGGATTCATCCCAGGAATGCAAGGATGGTTCAACATACGCAAATCAATAAATGTAATCCACCATATCAATAAAGCCAAAAATAAGAATCACATGATCATCTCTATAGATGCAGAAAAAGCCTTCGATAAGGTCTAACACTTATTCATGATAAGAACTTTACAGAAAATTGGAATAAATGGTCTTTACCTCAATATAATAAAGGCCATTTATGACAAACCAACAGCCAGCATCATACTAAATGGCCAAAAATTGAAAGCCTTTACTTTAAAATCGGGTACAAGACAAGGATATCCTTTATCACCACTCCTATTTAATATAGTACTGGAAGTACTAGCCAGAGCAATTAGGCAAGAAAGAGAAATAAAAGGGGTAAAGATAGGAAAAGAAGAATTTAAATTATCATTGTTTGCAGATGACATGATACTCTACATAGAAGACCCCCTAAACTCCATTGAAATACTCTTAGATACAATAAATAAATTCAGTAATGTGGCTGGATACAAAATCAATACTCAGAAATCAATAGCATTCCTATACACGAACAACAAAATTACAGAGAGGGAAATAAGAGAAACTGGACTATTCACATTAGCAAGCAAAAAAATGAAATATTTAGGAATTACTCTTACGAAAGAAGTGAAAGACTTATACAGTGAAAATTATAATACACTGAAAAAGGAAATTGAAGACGATCTCAGAAAATGGAAAGACATCCCTTGCTCATGGATAGGAAGAACAAACATTGTGAAAATGGCCATTCTCCCAAAACTGTTATATAGATTCAATGCAATCCCAATAGAAATACCATCAACATACCTTATAGATCTAGAGAAATCACTCCTAAATTTCATCTGGAACCAGAAGAGACCTAGAATCGCAAAGGCAATTCTAAGCAGCAAAGACAAAGCAGGAGGCATCACAATCCCTGACTTGAAGTTATACTACAAAGCAACAGTAGTAAAATCAACATGGTATTGGAATCAAAACAGAGCTGAAGATCAGTGGAATAGATTAGAAGATACAACCACAACTATGAACACACTCAACCACCTTATTTTTGATAAAGGAGCCAAGCAGGTTCACTGGAAGAACGACAGTCTCTTTAATAAATGGTGCTGGAAAAACTGGCTCTCCATTTGCCGAAAACTAAAACTAGACCCATGTCTATCACCATGTACTAAATTAAAATCTAAATGGGTCAAAGATCTGAATATTAAAACAGAAACACTAAATCTATTGGAAGATAAAATAGGTAGAAACCTTGGAGACATAGGAGTAGGTAAAGAATTCATGAACAGGACTCAAACCGCACGGGAAATACTTCCCAGAATCAATAACTGGGACCACTTCTTATTAAAAAGTTTCTGCATGTCAAAAGAAATCTCCAGCATAGTGAAAAGAAAACCCACAAACTGGGAAAAGATTTTAGTGAACTCTCTCTCAGACAAGGGCCTCTTGTCTAAAACATATAAAGAATTAAAAAAACTCAGACCTCCGAAATTCAAAGATCCAATCCAAAAATGGGCATCTGAGATGAATATGCAATTCTCAGATGAAGAAATGCAAATGGCAAATAAATACATGAAAAAATGCTCATCATCATTGGTTATTAGAGAAATGCAAATTAAAACCACACTGAGATACCATCTCACTCCTGAAAGAATGGCCAGGATCAAGAAAACCGACAACAAATGCTGGAGAGGCTGTGGGGAAAAAGGAACTCTCCTGCACTGCTGGTGGGAGTGTAGACTGGTACAGCCTTTGTGGAGATCTGTCTGGAGATTTCTCAAAAAGTTGGGACTGGAAATCCCATTTATTCCAGCAATTCCACTTCTAGGCATATTCCCAGAAGAACTAAAAGCATCATACCACAGTGATATATGTGCACCTATGTTTATAGCAGCACAATTTGTAATCGCCAGATCTTGGAAACAACCCAAGTGCCCATCAACTGAGGAATGGATAAAAAAGTTGTGGTATTTCTATACAATGGAGTATTATTCAGCTATAAAGAAGGATCACATTGAGATATTTATCAATAAATGGGCGCAGCTTGAGACCATACTCATTAGTGAAATAAATCAATCTCGCATGTGTGAATACCGAATAGTTTCCCTAATGTAAGTAATGATTCAAATATATAAAAATATGTGGTAATCATGATTCCCCATTAGGTGGCCTTGAAGCCTTATAAAGTTTTCACTCATTAATTAGAAAGGCTTTATTCTGGGCTTCTTGATATGAAAATATTTGAAGCTAGAGTATATGAAGTTTTATCCAAATATTTCAAGGAAAAAGACACTATGGTAACTACTATTAAGTCAGGTTATAAGGTGGTGAAGTACTAGGTTGTTGAAACAGTCATGCTGTGACCTCTATTGTTATATTGTTATGTCCTGTTTTATCTCAATCTCCCCCTTATTGTTTCAAAAAAAATTATTTAGTCATTTCTTATGTTTGTCTTAATTAAAGAAAAAATTCAAAAATATTAGGATATATAAATAGTAACTCTTTTCGATTTCCTATTAACTTGTTTTGAAGTCCTGTAGTACTCCCACGATCTTGTTTTGACTGATTAGACTCTGTTCCATTCTATATGATAGTATCAAGTTTGAAGACATAGGCAACTACTTTGAAGACAATAAGATTCACTAAGATACCCATTCTGGTTTGACTATTGTCTTCTTTGGAAGTCCTGTAATGTTTACAATGCCTAAGTTTTATTGGTCTTGTTCTCTACTGTTTTGTCCAACTTTATAATATCTAATAAGATAGACAATTCTTTTTAAGGAAACAAGGGACAACGTTGATAACCATTGTTGATAAACTTGTACTCTGTTCTACACCATGTGCTATGTCTATCCTTGGTATTGACTGACAGCTTTGTTTTGCCATATTTGACTGTATTCTTCCCCCCCCCCAAAGAAAGTAATAAGCACTAAGGAGTAATAAAATCCAAGATGTGTACATTTTGTTGTAAAAAAGAGAGGGAAAAAAAAAAGAAAAAGAGCTCTAACGGATATAACAGCAAGTGTGTTTGGGGGTGTTAAATACCTGACTTTATCAATGTTTTTGGAACATTGAACACAGCTGTCTGCAGTCTCCCTGTTTGAATGTCCACCTTGTGTTCTTTGATACTGTGATTTGAGGAACTATTTTCAAGAAGATAGTGTGTAATCTACTAGCAGGTAATTTCTTACTGTTATGTTTTTTTGTTTTGTTTTGTTTTGTTTTGTAGTTCTGTATTGCGTGTACCCTTACGCTGCTTTGGTTTGTTTTGTGTTTTTCTCTTTTTCCTCTTAAATAAAAAAAAAAAGTAAATTAGTATTCAATTTTTTGATGATTTTCAAACAATCACCTTGTAAGATAAAGATACAGTTTTCATCTGATGTATCTATGATGTATATTTCATCTGATATATGGTTTATGATATATCTGTCTCTATTTTATTTTAGTTTAGTTTTTGGTACTGGAAATCTGACTCAGGACCTCACACTTTTCAGACAGGCACAGTGCCACTGACCTATATCCCAGGCCATTGTTGTAAATGTCTTACAAATATGTTGTATTTCATTTGGTCAATGTTTTCCTAATAGAAAGGAACATTTAATTTTTCTTTTGAGAGTTAATCTTCATAATGCAGGTCAGGAAGGGGATGGCTGAGTGGTAGTGTGTTTCACATGCACCAGGACCTAGCAGCAACCCCCAACACAAAAAAACGAATGCTCATTGTGACGGTCACTTCTAGGAATATGCAAATGTGTTTGCTTTTGCTAATTTTCTCATTTTGTATGATCTAAAATTTTTATTTCTATGCCACTGGAAACTTTTGTGACATAAAATCTACATTTTTTGAAATGGTTTACATTTCATTCATGTATCATTCCAGTTTTTCAACTAAAATATGTGAGGATCAACTTCTAAATTCTGACAGATATTTGAATGTTTCCAGATTTTCTATTAAGTTACATTCATTTGTCTATCTTTTGGGCTGTTAGAAAATAATTAATTTGTGAAAATAACTTACCTTGATATCTACGAAGGTGGGTTTTCACTATATTTTCTTAGTGACCCCAATGGCAAAACAACAAAGGGAAACTCAAGTGTTGCACATTTTTTTCGTTGCATAAGCAGATACACAAAAAGCTCACATTTGGGGACTAATGGAACTTTCTAGCCAAGAACATAGAGCTGCCTTCCCAATTCAGTTTCCTTATAAAAGGTCCTTAGTACAGAACATACATGCACAGATGGACACTGATAGTAAATGGACACTAGGTTTTTAGAAGCTTAAGTTTCGGCCCTAAATTTGTAGATTACAAGAAACATGCCACAGTTCCCTTTTTTATAATATGTACAATTCTCTTAATGTGATACTAAGAACAAAACACTACACACACATCATACCAATGTTAAATAGCTTTTCAGTAGTCAGTGAAGTGGCCTACAACAGGAAGTACAAGTCCATTATAAACCAGTGGGAGGTTTGTTTTTATGTTGCAGCTTATGAGCACTGCCTGAGGATCGACCCTCTGGCCAGCTTTGCTTCCCTGGGTGTTGGGAATCCCCCTGCACCCTCCTCACCCACTCCTCCCTCCTGAGCCTGAGACCCTCGCTCTCCTGCATCATCCCAGCCCCACTCGCCACCCCTGGTCATGCAGCCCCATTACCTGCATTCCCTGTCTCTGTCATGGACATGGCCTGCTGTGATGAGAAACTGCACCCGGTCCTTGTAGCCCTCAAGGGCAGCCTTGTGAATCTTGGGCATTGGCTCACCAAAGATGCTTTGCAATGCAACCTTGCAGTTTTTCAGAAGGCCCACAGGCCTCGATGGTCCCGGGTCCCCACTGGACAAGTTCTTCTGGGCACAATCTATAGAGAGTGCAAGCACCTTAGGGACCCTGGACCTCTCACTGCCTTTCAGTGAAAGCCAAGCAACCCCTCATTCAACCCCTAGGCTCTAATGGCCTCTGCACATGCACATCTCCACAGCTCTGGAGCAAGCAGCCTATCGTGCACAGGTGCTGAGCAAAAAGCCTAACTATCCCCATTAATGTGGACTCACCAGATTCTGGTAATGTTGCAAGTGGTTGTTTATCATCAGATTTCAAATTCTCTGATTTCTCAGCAGTCTTATAACATGAGGCCAAACACCAATCTGAATCAAAATAGAAAGTTTGATATTTTGGAATGTAATAGTACTACAACCAGAACTAATGTACAAACCCATTCCTCAGAAGCAGTCTCCTGTGTTTCTCTGCTCCACAGTACAATAATGCCTCAGGCTTACTGTGCTCCACAGCTTCTGTGCTTGCCACTCGCTCAGCGGAGTTTCATTAGCACCACCATTTCTCATTCTTCTGTTTTCACTTACTTGAAGTATTATGATTTACCCAGCAATCTCTTTTACATACATTAATTTCTAGGACAGTTGATTTAATTCTTTAGGGAAACAAATTTCATTTCACTGCTATGAGATGTCAAATGTGTAAATAATGAGCAAATTGCGTAAAACAGAGTGTGAATTAGGGAGAAACTGTTTCGAGGACAGTGGAACTAGGGAAGGGGCGGGCCAATGGAAAGAAAGAGAAAAAGGATCCATTTCTTAAAAGAAATGAATCAGACATACACGTATCAATATCATATTGTTTTTCTAGAGGGAGAAACTCAAAATTGTAAATCAGCACTAAACTGTGCAAGGATACTGGAAAATATTCAAATAGGAAGGGGAACAGGGTGCTGTGTGAGAGGGAGAGGAAATAAAGAAAAAGGAAAAGAACAGACAGTGCTGGGGATTTAGCTCAACAGCAAAAGTGCCTGCTCTGCAAATGTAAGGCCATGAGTCCAATCCCTGGTGCCCGCACTCCCCCAAAAAAACGGACAGGAGAAAATAGAGACAAGGCTTTTGTAAATAAGCAGGTTAAGGTGATCACTTGAAGGGAGAGGGAGGGACTGGGGATAAAGCAATCAAGAAATATCTTATACAGTAGAAGCTTACTCTAATGAATGTTATCCTTATGGATATCTAAAATGCACCAGTATAATCAAATGGAAAAACAAAAATGAAAATTGTCTATTGTACTATAAACACACACAATATTGTTTCCAAGACTCAAAGACATGGATGTTAATCAATATATTACTTTAAATTCTGAAAACTGCAATGACATACATACTTCCATGTGCCACTGCTGTTAGATAGAATTCACTTTATAAATTGTGATAACATCACAAATTCATAAGAAAAGTGCCGGCTCTCCGGGACCTTATTGTGCCCATGTACGAACTAGTTTAGTCCAGGTCACTCGTAGTGAACCTTTGGCACATGCTCCACAGTGGGCTCTTTGCTATCACTGAAAGCCCTAGAAGGCTCACTGTCTCCAACCAAGACACACATTAGTCCCAGCGAATGGCTGGAGACAAGAAAGGAAAGCACAATGACACAATGCCGTTTTTCTTTATAAACAAAATTGTCAGACTTATAAAATTAAAGACAACTGAAAGAAAACAGGAGATAGAGAGTTTAAATGGCAGTTCGCTGTGAAGAAGCTCTTTGTCATTTGGCGTTGATGAATACTTATTGTTGAAATGGTGGTTTAACAGTGAATTAGAATCCCTGAAGCTCAAGGTTCTAAGAGGACAAATAATTCCAAAGGTTAAGTGCAATTCCACACTCATTCCCTATCTTGATGGGGCCTAGCAGACTGGAGTTTTCAGAAATGTAATGTCTCATCTGTCATAGTTCCAATGATTCACGAATCACAGCTCTAATGGATATTGGCATATGTGACTGCATGCTGGTATCTTACAGCTTTTTGTTCTTGTTGTTTGTTTCTTTGTTTTAGTACTGGGGATCAAACTCATGAGCTGCATTAGCCAGGCCGACACTTCTGTTGCTGAGTTAAATCTCCCGCCCCACTATTCTCCATCTTTCAGATTTAGTCTCTACTACAGTGTCAATAGATTCAACATACTTTAATAAGAAACCTCTGTAGATTCTGTAAGATCTTTTATGACTCTAAAAGGAATTCCAGCTAAAGTTTGAGAATCTTTGTTGTGAAGAATTGTATCGAACAGTCACTAAGAATGATTACGTCTGCACACTTAATAATCAAACGTATGAGACACCATATATACACACTCACACAGTCTGCTTTCGAGAAAATCTATCTGCTTGCAATCATGAATATACCAATGAAATAAAGTGGACACACAGTGGGCATATTACTAAGGAGAGCTTTACTCTAGACAAACATCAGAATCACTGTAAGCATATTTGCTAGCGGTAGTGAACTAAATCATGGGTATCAGTGAGCCACTTGCCACTATCTCCTGAGTAACCGGGACTCTGGGATGCCCAGAGGAGCCAGCTCTCTGGGAAGCACCCACACACTTTGAAAAGATCGTGGAATTTTATAGTAAGTTTTGTGGATCCCTGTGAAGTATAAGGATCCAAGCTGAAAACATTGGATATTAAAACATACGTAAACAATTCATTAAATATTATTTTCTCCTGAGCTTATTAGCACCTTATTTGCAAATATGCACACCAATAATTACACCGGCAGTATTTATGGCAAAGCCTTGCCAACATTTGGAGACAAAATGGAGATGACTGCAGGCATATCAAACAATTTAGGGGACTGTACTTCATTACAGAGGAATCTGTATTGTGACATGTACCTGGTTGAGGTGGCAGTGCATCCTTCACTCTTACTGCTTTCTTCCCATCAGAATCTTTTGTTTCCACAGCAGGCTGAATGGGATTTAAAGTAAAGTGATTACTACACACTGCATACCTCCTAAAATAGGCAGTTCATTCAAAATACAAATATACAGTCCTTACCTTCAAGGGAAGATGTGTGTCAGGTGATTCTAAAGAGGAAAAAGGGAAAATAAACTTTAGACAGCAATATGAGAAAACCAAGCATACATTCATGAAGACTTAGGACACAGCCGAATCTTCATGCTATGCTTGGGAAATGATTACCTCAGGTTTCAGCTCCTTTCCGACTGGTGAGAACAATACGACAGAAAAATTAGAATACAGGTCAAACATGATTTCCAATGTGCCACCATACTGCCAAAGATCATAACTAAAATAGGAAGTGAGCATATTCCAATCTGTACATGTGAACTGCTGCAAAACAGTGATCTTGGGATGTCATGATCCTGAGGGGCTGACTATCAAAGCTGACAGGAGAAGGGAACAGCATATAAACTGAACAAAGCACATCATCCATTGGTACGCCGTTGCATACATGTAGGTGCTCTCGAGATGTCCACCATGGCAGAGCGCACAAATGGTGTGTTCCTAATATTGTTATTTTAAAAGGTGAGATTGTGCTCCGCTATCCATGGTGCCCTTCAATTTCTGGACATGAACGATCCCTCTGCCTCAAGTTTTCAAATAGCTTGAACTCAAAGGATATGCACAACACCTGGCAACATTTTCATATATTTCTTTTAAATATCAGTACTCTGTACACAACCATTTTGTGTGAAAGTTGGGGACATGTCTAAGGAGAAGCTGCCCAGTAAATTCTCAGTGATTTCCACTGATCCAGTGAGAATCAATCCATACAAACTGAAAGAAATTGTAAGAAATCATTAATAAGTGGTTTTGGAAGCATCTTTGGTGATATGTCCTGCACATAGTGACAAACACATAATTCTTGTGAATTCAGAGCAATTAGCGCTAAAAGAAAGAAGTTGCATCTGAGTAGCAATCTGTAGATCTCTCCCTAGTCTTTCTTTCCACCCAGAAGCTCTAAGTCTATTGACACTCTCTCTCAAATGTATGCTAAACACTCGCCTAAATAAAATTAGTCTTCCTTCTGATCTTCTTCATAATTTTTACCATGCTTTGGTAAGACAAAGACCATGACTGCCTTGTGGATAGACACTGTTTGGTTGGCAGCTGCATTGGAGGTGTACAACACAGAGCAGATTCTACCACCAAAAGATTTCTGAAAAAGCATAATTACTATAGTAGAAAACCACGCACAGGTGCTACAAGTTGAATTAACTCTGCTACTTTATTACTTCCCTTATGCTGTTTTCTGGTTGGCATGAATCATGCAACAAGGTGAGTACGACTGCCCAACAGAAACACAGCTCCAATACTCATCAGTATTTACCCATTGTGGTTGACTCACTAGATTCCAGGAAGAGGGAGAGAATCTGCATCACTGAGGGTGTTGCAAGGGGACATATATCAACAAACTTCAAATTCTATGATCTCTCAAAAGTCTTATTAGTCTGATGCAAACTCAAGTGGGAATCTAAATATAAAGTTTGATTTATTAGGATACAACGATACTACGCAGATATCGATTGTACAAATCCATTCCTCAGAAGCAGTCTCCTGTGTTTCTCTGCCCCACAGTACAATAATGCCTCAGCCTTACTGTGCTCCATAGCATCTGTGCTGGCCACTCACTCAGCTGACTTTCATTCGCACCATCATCTCTCATTCTTCTGTTTTAACTTAATAGTATTATCCCGATTTACCTTTAATTTCCAGGACTATCGATTGTTAAGTCTTTAGGACTGTGAATTTTATTTCATTGTTATTAGATATCAAATGTGTAAATAAAGAGCAAATAGTGAAAAAGGTATTGTGAAGCAGGGCAAAATTGTTTAAAGGAGAGGGGAACTAAAGAAGGGGCAAAGCCAATGGAAAGAAAGGGAGGAAAGACTCCATTTCTTAAATAAAATGAATCTAACACACACATTTCAACATCGTACTGTTTTTCTAGTGAGAGAAACTGAAAAGTGTAAATGAGAACAAAACTGTACAAAGACATTGGAAAATATTCCAATAGGAATGGGAACAGGGTGGGAGGGTAAGAGGGAGAAGAAGTAAAGGAAAAGGAAAAGAAAAAAAGAACAGAGAGAACAAAATAGAAAAAAAGCTTTTGTAAATAAACAGGTAAAGGGGAGACCTTTAAGGGAGAAGAGATTGGAGAAAAAAGAATCAAGAAGTATCATATAGAGGCAGAATCTCCCTCTAATGAAGGGGATCCTTATGGGTATCTAAAATGTACCAATACAATGAATTTGATGCAATAAATTTAAATTTTCTGTTTTACTATAAACACACACAACGTTCGCCATTGGTTAGAACAATATGACAGAAAAACTAGAATATACATCAACCATGATTTCCAATGTGACATTATACTTGCAAGGACCATAACTAAAACAGGAAGTGAGCTTTACATGCTGACTGCTGAGAAAAAGTAATCTTAGCAAGTCATGACCCTGAGAGGCTGAGTGGCAGAGCTGACAGGAGAGGGGAATAGCATATAAATCGAACATAGTACATCACCCATTTGTACACCATTGCACTCCAAGTATCTGTGGTTTTGCATTTCTCCTGCACTGCAACTGGTACATAAGTTTGGTCATCATCAAGAGGAATTTAAACTTTGTGTTCTCACAAAACAGTTAGCCATACATGTTCAGCATAATAATTAATAAACCCAGTCATGTTTTCTATGTCCTTGTGGGCCATGGCTATGCCTACATTTCTTGTATCCTCAAAACGAGTTTGGCCACATCTTGAAATTTGTTGAATCCCTCATGAATGGAACATAAACCATATCTGAGACATAATGCTACATCAGTTTTCAACATTGAAATAGTTATCAAAATGCAAAAAGCTGAATAGTCAGGGAATTGTGAGATACTAGGAAACTTTTACATTTAAGATCAGCACAATATTTACTAACAGGTAACAATTTTGGCCTTCAAGGAATGAACTGAACAATGTCTCTTGGTTCATTTGTAAAGGATTTGTGTGGAAAAGCTATTTTATCAAAACTTACTTATCTTAAAAGGAGTCAGTGCTTCTATGTGCAAGCTAATCTCACGTGAACAATGATCAATTTCACAGAAAGCTCTGATGCCTGATGACTAGGCGGGAAAGGAGGGAAGTACCTGCAGTGTAAGCCAAGGCTAGCACTCCTCCCTGCTCTGAATCATCCCTGAACAGCCACAGTCTACTCTGTCACTTGCAAACACATACACGAAAGCTGTGGGGAGGGAGTCCTCTCAGTTTGCATCATCCATTCCAAAGTTACTGTCTAGCTTTGTTCTTCCCTATCCTCCTCCCCTAATAAGTCCCTGTTCCCTTCCAAACTGACCTAGTTCTATGGTCTTGAGTGTTTCCATTTACGGCTTTTTGCAGATTATTCCTACCACTACTTTCTTTAGTTGGCAGAAATGGCAGTAATATCTTAGAATTACAACTTCTATTTCTTCTCTGTTCATTGCTTTACTCTCTCCCCTGTGACTAGAACTATTTTCAGAAATACAAACAGGAAAACAGGCACGAAATGGTTCTCCCTTGACCTTGTTATGTCTTGAACTAGTTCTTATCCAATGACTCTCGTCCAGATTTCTCTACAGGGAACTTGATACTGGCCCATCTTCAGTGGTCTGAGGATGAGTGACATGAGCATCCCTGGAGACCTTCTTAGAAACACACCACCTTAGTCCTGCTGACTCAGATGTGTGGTGTAACATGTTCCCCCACAGGGGCTTCATTTCATAACTAAAGCTCCAGGCCACAAACCTAATCACTTCCAAATCCACTTCCCTTCCCTTCCTTCCATTTTTGGAATCTAGCACCAACTTCCTCCTCATCCTGTCAACTAAATTGAAAATGCATAACAGGCCATCCCCGTTCTAATGGACTTTTAACTGAGACTATGGCTTTCCTGAACTCAATGACTAATCATTCCTTTCTTTCTAGTTTTTGACTGTCGCATTCTGGATGTACTACTTGCTGAAATAGCAACGTTTTTAAGTGGTAAACTTTTAAATGGAACTCTGCAACCAGCATTGCGGGAAGAAGTAAGAGCGTGAACCAAGGTACCAGTGAAACTACACGTACAGCGAACAATGCTCGTTTACTTTGATCTGTAGTAAATGAAGTAGAGCTCTGTGTAATTCACTACTTCCATCCTCAATACCTTTCCAATCGTCAGAAGACGGGAAAAGACGAAAACTTCTGCCCAACCTCTCTGCAAGTTTTGTTACTCGGTGCTCAATTGATATAATTCCTACAATTCTTCCTAATTGCTCTTCCTTTTTCTAAATGATTACTTCATTTTCCCACACCCATATTTCTCTTGCCTTTGCTTACTCCCTGTATTGTGGCTCTCTCTTTTCCCTCACTCCCTCCTCTCCTCTTAATTTTCTAACATCCCTCAGACATTAGAATGCCTTGAAATGGAGCTAAGAAGGCGGCTCCTTCAGTGACTCTCAAATTTGCCTGTGGCTGATACGTCAGGGTACATGAAACTTATTGCGGTGTTACTTCTCTTTTTTCTTACTTTGTCATTAATAAGTAGTTTTGGGGGATTCAGAACTCAGCCATGCTCCACTGTGAAATAAACATGCTGTCAAATGACTTTCTTAAAATATCACACATTTATACATATTTCTTACCTTTTCTTTTTCTATTTCCTGCCTGTTTTCCTCCATCATCTGCTTTCCCAGAAAAAGGATCCACAGGCTTCTGTGGAAAATTCACAGAGATACTCTGAGAAAATTCGTATAGCAGTAATGAGTTGCACAACCATTACCTACTCATTTCCCAAGAACTTATCTGATTTTTACCATCTTAAGGCAGGCAGGTTTAATAGTGGGAATCACGTACTGAGGACCAAAATGTCTCCAATGAGAGCCTTATGAGAAGCCCAGCTTCGGTCTCCACATGGGTGCTGACTTTGTAAAGCAGGCATGGAAAGCCACAGGAGGGATTCAGAGACAAAATTCTAGCTGATAATCATATTTCATCCTAACGTCAGAGGAGACAAAGTACTCTGCACTCTCCAACGAATGGAACATTGAAACACACAGATTTAAATGAAGAAGTTTTTATGAGAGTATGTTTGTGATATACAACAATTACATTTGTTTTGGGGAACTGCTACATTCGTTATCATTTCTTCATTGCCTTGGTTCCCTTTACACCCTAACATCACTTTCCCTTCCCTGAATAAACAAATTCTTATAAATATACTTGTTACCATTCACCACTAAGCATTTCTAATCACAAAAGCCACGTCACTGTTAAAATAATTGGCCAGCTAAGAAGCTTCAGAGAGCCACGCTGAGTACAAAGAACATCGCAGGCACTGCTCCACTTGTGTAAACAAGGGCTTAGAAGAAAAACAATTATGAGTAAAACTTTCACTGCTTGAAAAGATGTTTGAAACTTAAAATATACTAATAACTTCATGTTATATTCAAGTAAGAGCACACAAATATTGGACACTATATACAACTATTTCCCAATTAAGGGAGAACTTTTTAAAAGTATAAAAAGAGCTGCAGTATAAAACCTTTTTTAATTTATTAAGTGCCCAAAACTTGCTCATACTGATTTGCATGTTTTCTTTGCTGTCTGTTGCAAAACTGTAAATAACTGTGATGAAAGTTGATGCACTTCCTGCTTTCAGGTCACTGTAGGGTGCTACAATGACAGCCAGACATGGCTCATGGCTCCCTGCTCTCTGCCCACAATGTCCTCGAGACTTTACTGGGCTGGCTGTTTCTCACTCTTAAATTAGCAGCACTTCACGCTCATTCCCATCCTTACCTCAAACTCCCTTGGAATTCTCTAACCTATGCAGGCCTGGCAGTGCACACCTGTAATTCCAAACTTCTGGAGGTTTGAGACATCAGAAGCACTAGTTCAAGCCCAGTCTGGAGAATATGGTGACTTAGAAAGACCCTTATCTCAAGTATTAAAAGGCCTGGCGAGCTAGTGCCAGGTGAAGGCCACAGGATGGATTCAAAGTAATGAAACAAACAGTGCTCTTGTTTGTCTGAATACTCTATCATGATAGCACAAGTCCTCATCTGATGTATTCAGTGTCCCACTACCTAGTGCACAGTGGGTACAGAATAACAGAGATTTATTCAAGTTCACATTTAAAGCCTCCTCAGGGAAACCTCAAGCACCAAGCTACTCTCTTCCTATATGCTGACTCCATCAACAGTTTACCAACAGTGTTACCATTTACAAAGTAGCAATCTATATGCCCCTCTCAACTTCCTTATTGTCTTCTTCACACTATTGTTTTGTTGTTCTCAGGTTTAGGAAAAAATCTTCAATATTTATTCAGGTACTGCAAACCAACTAGAACTTTGTATAATTTTCAAAGTATTTTTACAATTTTTATCACATTTGTCCATATATATAGCTAAAAAGCAGATCATGTGTTATCTTCATGGTATAATAAGTCACAAAATCCAAATACATTAAATGATTTTTCCAAAACCAGCAGTCACTAACTGACAAAACCAGAATACTAACTGGTTTTGTGCTTCCACCACTACCCTGGTACCACAATGCAGGAGCTGCTTGGACCGAACACATTAGGCCTTTTCCTAAGTGCTCACTCTAAAACAATTTGTCAATATTTACATCTTTATCACTACAAGCATGACTGCCATAGAGACACTCAATGCATCCACATTCAACTTTGGGTTCTGTTTTTTGAAATAATGTAAAATGGATCTGTGATTATAAAGCCCTGTGTTTATATCTTGAGTCCTTTCTTCTTTTGAATTATGACATGCAGATTGACACTAAGCAACCAAAATAGATTAACAATTGTGATTCTCACTCATTATTTTGTCAAGTTAAAACCTCTAAAAATTATATCCAAACATTTTGTCTGAATCTCAGCAGAATTTTCAGCCATTGGCCAGAGGCTGAGCAGGGAAAATTCTTCAGTTTTTGTTCAACTTAATTCCAGAATCTAAGCCGATTGCTTATGAAATCTAGCTCCTAGTTTTTGACTGCACTGGCTTCCTTGAATGAATTTTACACAGGTAGCAAAGGTGTGCTTAGCACTCCATCCATTTATTCCTTCACCTGCAGTACAAGGGATTCAACATAAGGTATTTGTATTGAGCTAGGAACCGTGTGTTTTTAACTTTTTGAGACAGATTCTTATTAATCAGCTATGCTGGTCACAAAATTAGGAACTGTGGTTGAAAACTAAGCAAATGACTTCTTACAGGTATATGAAGACATGAGAAAGTACAGACAAATTGTCCCATTTATATTAAAATCTCAAACAATACTTATTTCAAACATAATTACAAATGATAGGCAGTACCTCAGAATCCCAAGCTGTCCGTACTCCTGGTGCAAACACCGTATCTATAAAATGTAGTCAGAGACACATTAGTGAGAATATTCACTGGTGTAAAATTTGCTTATAGATACAAATATATCTACATTCATGAAGATTTCAATGAGATATGAGTCAATGTGAAAAGAATTTCAGAAGTTTGAATCAGTTTCCAAAACCTGTTGGTAGAAGGAAATTAAGACAAGTAAAATTTTAAAAGAAATGAATATCATTTTTTAGATCTACACACATTTGAAAATAATAGCATATAATCAAAAACAACTTTCACAGTCACTAATTTGCCAGTTTGATGAGTTTTCTTCTCCTCATCCACATTAGTCACATTGTTAACTGAAATCTCATCCAGTGCTTTTACAACAAAAGGCTTACCCTTTTTCCGCACTGTAACTTTTGACATTTCTGCTTGTTTCTATTGAAGAAAAGAAAAAAACAGTATTACAAAGCAGGCAATTGCCCAGCCACCCACTCAGTGTAATGGAAACACAATGGAAACAATCACCGAAAAAATCTATCAAATCACACGGATTACTCTGCAAAAAGCTGAAAGCACATTCTGCTTGCATGGAACCAGACGCAGATACATGAAAACAGTGAAATGCATTTCATTCATTCTACAAATGGGGTCCAAAGACAGGCTTCTAAAGCAAATACAATCAGTTCTATCTGGAAAGCTCAGGAAAAGCCATTTCTTGTGAACAGGTGAGAAAGCACCAAGGAAGGGTGTCAAGGGCATTCAAGAAAGGACACCAGAAACAAATGGATGGGCATGAAACAATACAGCAAAAGAGGGCTGCCCGAGGGATGTGACACAGCTGGAATACAGTTCCTGGAAGGGCACAGACAGGTGAACAGGAGCATCACACTAATTTCAGGCTGGAATGGGAACTTCCCTTGTGAAATGCGAATCTGTAGATTCTCTGATATTGTAAGATCGATGCCAGAGAATAATGGGAAGCACAGCATCAAAGAATATTGTTTTTAAATGATGAGTGAGAAAATGAGTCCAGAAATGAAAAATAGTTCTCAGAATGTAGGAAGTAAGCAAATTTGATAGTCACCAGAAGGGTAGCTGGGGCCAGGAATTCTCAGCTTCAGAGATCTGGTGCCATCCAATATCATCACAGAAAGACCACAGTCAAGGCCTGCAGGAAATACATCTAACTGGAGGCCTGGGATGGAGGAGACACATTTGGAGGAGGGGAGATGATGACCTCACTCAGGAAATGATATTGGCTCAAAAGGTAAGTAACTTTTTGTAGAATACAGAAAACGGAGGCAGTAATGCTAATCTATGCACAGTTCTGAAATTCATCAGATGAAATCATGAGGGGGGAATTACAGGAGATGCCATTTTTCAATTATATACATTAACATTTGTGTTGAAGCTATAAACAAACTTTAACTGATATATGCAAATACTAACTTCTGAGACAGTACGCAAATGTGAATTTTAAAATTTAATCATAAGATTTAATACCAAGATACCCATTGAAGATTTTGAAAAAAATTCCTGTTCAAAGAAAAATCTTCCAGGATTTAATGAAATCCAGGCCTGCTGATGTGCACCTGTGGTCTGTGCTTATAGGGCAGCTCAGGCGGGATGGTCCCTGAAGCCAGGAGTCAGAAATCCAACTGGTGAATATAACCAGGTCCATTCTCATAAAGGGAAACATATTATAAATTGTAGAAGAGAAATGGTGATGATTTACAGAAAGAGGTATTTTTAAATGCTACTACAACGTGAGGGAGAAATGTAAGGCCTTATTTGAAAATTCCTATTCCCCCAATAAATGGCATATGCCAATACTTCTAGTTTTCTACATGCAATGACAGTTACAAATGGAAGAAAAGTTGTGTGCTATTTACCACTACCTGAGAACTGAAGCATTTCCGGTAGAGACAAAGGAAACACAATAATTTCCACAATTTTCCATTCAGAGAAATGACTGCTAATTAGGATTCTACAGAAAAATTACACTTTGAAAAGGTGCACCGAATAAACATGGAGCTGACTAAAACAAAAGCATAAGAAATTTTAAGATGACATTTTAACCTATGTTCAGAGTTAAAGGATACTAGAATGTACTGTGTCTTTCATTCCTCTGATTTGTTTTCTTATTTGACATAACATTAAACATAAGTCACCTGAAAGTATATATCCTAAGCACAGTATACATTTTAGGGCAAACTGAATGCACTTATTTATTACATAAATTATGCATACATTACTTGAAAAATTCTATTAGGTAGAAATCCATTTATTGGCATTCAACTGGTATTAAAATGCTTCTTAATACCAAACACCTCACTGCAGGTCTTCAGAATTCACACAAAAATCTTTCTAATCTCCAGAATCTCATTGTACTGTGGAGTTTTAAATGAATTTTTGGAAGTACAAAAACTTGTGAAACTTGAAATGTCAGAATGAGATACAGAGACTACCACTGTATATTTTTAAAGCTATAAAGCTTACAATTACCACTTGCTTTGTAGACCATCTAGTTCTACCACTGCTTATTATTTTGAAAACAGGTAGTCTTCTATAAGATAAAATGTTTTAAAAGTGGTATCCTCTTTATGGAGGAATCACATAGAAAACACAGTGCAGGAAGGTGTAGTATACATTCAATCCAGCACTGGAGGTGAGGCTAAACATCCCAAATTCCAGACCGGACTCAAAAACAAATTCAATTAACTAAAAAAAGAGGGCAAGGGATACAGCTTCCTGCACAGGCCCTGTGATCACCTTCCAGAAACAAAAAAACAAAACAATAACAATGAAGATCCTGTAATTCCGTAGTCATACATCCCTGATGAAACACATTTTAAATTTCTAAGTTGTCACAGTTTCCAGTATTATTCTAGTCTAAAAACAGAACCAATAACAGAAACAGAAGAGCTCTCATAAAAACTGATGATAGCAAAATAAAGATTACTTACAGGAAAAATTGTTTTATACACAGTAAGTTGTTCAAATGAAGGCACCAAACTTCCCTGATTATTGTAGGACTAATAAGATCCATAAAAGATTTATATAGGTATGAGTGCTATGAAGGTCTTGGTAGTAAGATTTTCAAGCCATGGCAAGGTCCACTTATCCAAATGATCCTTGACCAAATTTTGTATTTCCGCCATCATGGCAAAGGTTTGACAGATACAATTTTCCTGTCACTGTGTGTTTTCTAACCCATTATTATTTTCAGTCTCAAATACTTCAAAATATGTACCAGTTATTTACCAAAGGGGTAGAAATTCTTTTTAACTAGGCATAGTTCTCCAAAGTGATCTTCCCTGATCAATGTTCCATATAAATTTATGGTAGCTACACCACTGGTAAATTTGAAGACTAAGGGCAATACAGTGCAAAACTAAGAGGAAGAAAATTAACATTACGAAAGACACTTACCTTGTTATCCAGAAGAAAGTCAGTGTCATCTGATTTAGGCCAGGAATTAACAGGACTGTGTTTGCTGGAAGAGCTGGGGAGCAAAAACACACAATAGCAGTGGGTGAGTTTCATTCTTTAAAAACTGGTGAAAGCTTGGCTATCTGTGTATCAAATGATGGTTCGTGGTTGACACAATTAAAAGTTGACTTCCAGTTTTGAAATATTTTAGATGCTTCCTTCTGTCTTCACTTCTTCCAATCTCGGAAACACTCAGCATAGTCTCACTTTCACTCCCAAAGCATGACAGCCAAGAGACCAGCACAGTCTAAAAGTCATTTCTCTTTACAAATTGCCTGCTCTGAAGGCTGAAGTGAAAAATGCAATAATAGCAAACAAAAGTTGTTACCTGGACTCAAACAAGCCTGGTAACCTCAAGGTGGAAAAATACACCGTCCCCTTTCCCTGCTCTGTCTCTGGTTCAATGATGTGATGGTTCTAATCTAGTGTCCCCTTTCATTATCCTGTGTGTGGAAGGTGTTTGGACCATGGGAACCCTATCTTCAGCATGTCCTCATCCATCTGCAAGTTCAGTAGCTCACCGTGCTCTTAGGTGGGAGGTCTGCTCTGAGGAAGGCCACTGGGTTCTGACCTGCAAGGGTAAATTCTCACCCCTGGTTCTTCAGCCCTCTCACTGCTCCCTGCCTGTGTGTTAAGGAGCTTTCCTCCACCTTGTCTCCCTGCCAAGTGGTTTCTGCCTTGGAGCCTCTTACCTGAGTCAGAATGAATCTTTCCTCCTTTAAATTGTTAGGGTTGAGCATTTTGCCCCATTAATGCCAAAGTTACTGAAAGTCAGTAAGATGCCGAGTAAGTCAGGAATGGCAGTCTTTGTTTTCTGTATGGAAGCCCCTTACACTGAGACAACTCTGTTAGTATCATTTACCATAAATCAACACAGAGAGTCCTCTGCAACTGTAAAATATTTGAAGGTTAAAAGTACAAAAATCAAAGAAAAATGTGGGTGGGTGGGTGTGGGTGTGTGTGTGTGTTGGTCAATTTCTTCCCTGGGAAATTAAACTATTAAAATGATAAAACCCAATTGTTTTTCCTGTATGCCTTTGCTTTTTTCACCTACACGTAAAGTGGTGAAACTTTCACAGACACTGTGACATTCAAGTAGGAGCTGGCTGGAAAATCAACCCTGGTAGCTGCTCCTCTGTTATTATAAATCTAGTCTAATGTCCTTTTGTAAGTGCTCTTCCTTCTGGGTTTCTCATGGTGGGGCTCCACATCAGTGTTCACTTAAATCTTCAGCCTAAGAAGGCACAGATTCCTAAAAAAAAGGATGTGCTCAAATAACCAAGAGCAGCTGCTCCTGAAAAGAAGTATTTGTGTCACAATCACCTGCCCTCAGCAGAAGCAAGGTACCACCTATCAAGAGGACACATCCGCCTTGCAGGCCTACCTTACATAAGAGGTGGAAATGAGGGACACCTGTCCTGGGTAACAGGCCCATGAAGTTCAGCTGCTTCTGGTCCCCAGTGGAGTCAGAGGCCTAAGCCACCCTCCATGAACTGAGTAGGAAGGAGGGCATGGGATATTCCTTCATGCTCTAGAGACTTCCAGGTGGCTCAGATTACCCTAACTAATCTAATACCAATTTTTAAGTTTCGCTGTTCCTCCGACTGAACAAAAAAGCAAAAATCTCTTCAGAACTCCTTTGAACCCACACTTTTAATACATTTGTCAGGATAATTCTCAGTATTCTGGGGCTTCATTTTCTGTATTATCTTTATCAGACTTGTGACAAACCTCAATATTCTGATTTGTAAGACCTCAGTCTTGCCCCACCCAATGTTGTCCTTCCAACATGCCCTTCCCCTGTGATTTCCACTCTCATGATCTCCCACTGGACATGCTGGACTTCCTCCTCTCTTCTATTATGGAAACTCTCACAGAAGGAGACATGACAAAGAGTACCAGACACAGCAAATATAAAACCTGAATACAACCTCATTTTGTCATGAACTATATTCAGATAAGTCACTTTAATATCATTGTACGTCAAATTCTCTATGATTCAACCATGTGGCTAGAATGTTAAACAGGTTGAGCACTAGAGGATATTTTTATTGGTCTCTTAGATTTCTTAGAACCTGAAAGTTTACTTGTTTTTGACTCTGTCTAAACAACAATAAGAAATACTAAGCAGCATAAGCACTTGCCTTGCAAGCATGCAGTCATGAGATTTGATTTCTGGTACTAAAAAAAAAAATACTAAGGCAGCAGAAATAAAAAAAAATACCAAGTAGAAGAAAAATTTTTTTAAAAGTCAAGAAAATATTTTACTTAAGAGGAAAAAAATCATAGAACTAGGCAGTAGTAATAGCCTGAAAGGAAAACCAAACTGGGAAATTGGTGAATAGACACATGCATTAAAAATGTCATTGCAATAAACCCTCAACATAAATAATATAAGATGATTTACATAAAGATAGTCTTAACGACCACATCTCCCCTAAGTTCTATAGTGGTAAAAACAAGAAACTGGCTATCAATTCAATCATTATCTTTAGAATAAACTCACCAACTTCTCAGGAAAACTAAGCAGACTTGACATGTCCCTTATGGTGACTTTCTACATTGATCTTAAATGACCTGCATTTGGATCCCAGCACTGCAGAGGGCAATGGAAGGCATCTGGGAGCCAGGCAGGCTAACAGTCAACACATGGGTCAGTTACTTCTTAATTATGAGACCATGGACCATTTAAATAACCTCCATTCATAAAAGCAGCCAAATTAATAAAACTGGATTAAAACAGCACAGGTACTTTGTCTGGCCTGGAACAGAACACTAAAACAATTGGTTTCTTTTCTGCATTCACTAATTAGTCACTGTATGATATTTAAAAATCTATATATTCTTACCTGATTAGAGAGTCATCGTCAGAAATATCACACACTATTCAAGAAAAAGGTAAAATACATTTTGAATTAACAAAAATATAAACTATTAAAAGTATAACTCTGATGTTTTGACACAAAATAGTCTTTTGGGCTACATCTGTAGCCCATTCTATAATCAGTATTAATTATGCTATTGATATGCAATGCATTAAGAAATCTCACTTCCTATTTTTAAGAAATGCAGGGAAGAAGAGAATTTATCTACATTTGATAGCTAAATGAGCAATAGTGCTGTGCACAATGACATCCTACCTAAAGGTATTATATTGACAGAAATGGTACCATTAGCAGTATCGCTGGCATAAGCTGACATGGCAAACAAAGAACATGACTTTCCTAGAGTAGTGGCACTAGGAACGATCATAAAAGATACACTTATTTTCTTAAGACACAAGGCAGCTGCTGTAGCATTCAGTTGGAACTGTAGAGTTTGAAGAGGAAATACTTTAGCTCAAGGAAGCTGTAAAGGGCATTCTAATTTGCAGCATGGCAAAATATGGGAAGCACACCTGAAACAAGCACCATTGCAATGATTTCCAGCTCTCAGTGGAGAAGAGCTCAGGAGAAGTCTGTGCACTTACTCTTGCTATTCCTCTCCTAAGGAAGATGCTAAGGAGCTCCCTTAGTTCTCCCTGGTTTCTCTGTCATATGTGTGATACAAACAGGGCTCAAGTTCACCTGCTATCTTACTTCCCATGGAAAGAACCACTTCAGAGCTCAAGCCCTTACAAGCTGGTCCAGTCTGAAAAGCTTAAAAGCCAGCACTGGGGAGGTTGCAACCAGCTGCCAGGGAGCACTATCTTACATGGAATAATGAAAACATACAAATGAAACCACTAACTCACTGAGCCTCTCAGAATGTGACAAGTGAAAGACAAAATTTTACGTCATGTAAACTTTGGGAAAAAAACAAAACAACACAAAGAACCAAAAGCCTCTGATTTCCCGTGACAGAGAACCTATTCATACACAGTCAGGGCTGTGGTCGGACTCAGTGGTAAACATGTGTGCACAGCACGCACAAGACCACTGAGTCCCTAGTACTGAAGGAGTGAGGACCAATAATAATAATGATAAAATCGGTCATGTTTTACTAACTTAACATGACTTGCACTTAAAGGAAGAGGAGCATTTTGACTCACCTATAGCTTTCATTACTCCCTCATCTTACTTCCCATCTCCAGGTAAGAAGGAAAGACCTGAGGCACTTTGAGAAGCACAGCACTCGCCAGTGTCTGCTTCCATTCTCAAAGGTTCTGTCTGGACCCAACAGAACAAGGTGGTGCAGTTCATGCTCTGAAGTTCAGCATGATGTCACTTTTGTCAACCCTCCTCATGATGAGGAATCCACATAGAAAGCAGGCCAGCTCAGCATGTGGAGCACATGCCATCAGTGCATATTCATACAAGCATCAAAAACACAAAAACTAAGGCTGGAGGTATAGCTCCATGGTAAATCATTTACCTGGAATGGCCAAAGCACTGGCTTCAGTCCCTAGCAACATCCCCAATAAGAGGAAAAAAGGCAGTTCAAGTAACAGCTTTATTGGCTACATTCAGTTAGCTTGAACAGTTATTGCTTTTAATCTTCAAAAATTATCCACTGTATCATTTCAATGATGGAGCAGATCTGCTAAAATGATCACTGCCAGGAAAATGAAAAGTTCAGTTGTTTGCAGTATTGTTGGGGTGGTGCAGGGCCAGGGAGCCAATGAACAAATAGCACAAAGGAGCTGTCTGAGGCATGACACTGCTAAAGGAAACACACAACAAATTTCAATCCACCATCACATGAAGAATGTTAACAGTGAAACTTAGTGTTAAATGCAGACTTTGGATGGGAACCAAGGACCAGTGTAAGTCATCATCTACAACAAGTGTACTACTCTAGAGGACAGCAACGGCCATGGAGGGAGGCAACTCATGTGTGAGAGGTACATGATCAACTGCAAATCTCTGGATCTTCCTTTCAATTTTGCTGTGAACTTAAGCCTGATATTAAAAAAAAAACAGTTTATAGTACAAAGAGTACAACTCTGTGGTAGAGCACTTGCCTGATATAAATGGAATCTCAGGTTTTTTGGCAACCACTGCAAAAAAGAAAAGAATGGAACCGAAAAGAAAACAGAAGAGAAGATTCGAGGAGAACATGGCGGACAGACAACAGCAACTACCAGAGGCTCTCTGAAAGGTTCGGCTCAGAGGCCAGAAATAATGCGGACTAGGGAGACACGAATCAGTAGAGATATGCTCTGCTGACTCAGGAACGAACTGGGCTGAGAGAATCCAACTTGGAATACAGTCCTGGCGCTAAAATAGGAACAGAAAAATCTCGGTGTGGAGGCTCGACTCCGCGCCATCGGAAACCGGTTTGGATTTCCCGCCGTGCGGCGGCCGGCTACCTCCACAGCGGCTCAGCAAGGAGAGACGCGCCGAGCTCTGGGAGCGCCGAGCTCTGGGAACGGGAGAACGGAGTCGAAAAAAAGGACGGACAGAGGTGTACACGAAAACTGACTGGTGGCGAGGTGAGTGAGAATCTGACCCCCCACCACAGTTTGACTCTAGCGGAGATCTCTCTGGGCGCCATTCCCCTCTCGGACGGGATTGGAGAAAAGTGCCTGGCCTGAGTGACGCTGCTGGCGGACTCTCTAGGCTAGACTAGCCTAACCCAGATCCCAGAGCCGGACGATGGCCCGGAGGAGCGACTGACTTCCACGTAGGCTGCCTCCTCCGACTCCCTGGTGCGCAGCGGTGGGCGGGAACAACTAGCCAGCGCAATTTGATCAGGCTGTGGCTGACAGGCAGGGAAGCCAGGCCTCCTTTGTAAGATTGAATTTTATAAGGAACAAAAAATATGGGGAAGGGAAGCAACAAAAAAAGCTCCTCGGCCCCCAATCCTGAGAAACAGGCAATAATGGACGCCGCACCAGTATACATTAAGCACCATATTGAGAGCCTCATAGACCAATTCAGGAATGAAGTTATCAATGATCTGAAGCTAGAAGTATGCAGAATAGTTAGAGAAATGCTAAACACCACCCAGGAAAAAACAGATGGTGGAATGGAAGAACAGAAAAAGAGGGGAGAATTGCTTGATGGAGAAAACAGAGAAAGCATTGAGTATGTGAAGCAGGTTCAAAGGGACTATCAAGAAATTAATAAGTCTATACAAGACTGGCATAACAGCTTGAAAGAAACTAAGGACAGACTATCTGAACTGGAGGGCAGACTTGAAATATGGGAGAATGAAATGAAAAACTTCTTAAAAATAACAAAGAAACAAACAGCAATAATACAAAGACAAGAAGATGATAAGAGGAGCCACAACTTAAGGATTAAGAACATAGAAGAAGAAGTAGGGACACAAACAAGTGAATTACAAAAGCTACTCACAGAAATAATCCAGAATTTTCCTAATTTAGCAAAAGGTAAAGATACTCAGCTGTATGAGGCATACAGGACCCCAGCTACCTACAACCCTAACAGAGAAACACCCAGGCATATAATAATAAAAATCCCAGAAATTCAATACAAGAACAGAATATTAAAAGCTGTAAGAGACAAGAAACAGATCACTTACAAAGGAACACCCATCAGAATTACAGCAGATTTCTCTTCACAAACCATCAAATCACGAAGAGCATGGGGGGAAATAATTCAAGCTTTGAAAGATAATAATCTCCAGCCAAGATTGAGATATCCTGCACAACTGTCCCTGGAAATTGATGGAAAAACGAGGTGCTTCCAGGATAAAGAGGAACAGGGGGAATTTGCAACCACCAATTCAACTCTACAGAAAGTATTGCAGGATATTCTAAAAAAAGAAAAATACAAAGAACCCAGAAATAGTGGCAGGGAGGCCACAACGAATGGAGCAGAGAACAAAATGAAGAAGACAAACTGACAGCTACTGACAGAAAAAGAGCTCAACAGAAATGAGACAGAGAAGATTGGATGATAGGAACAGCTATTTTTGAGAAAATGACATCTTAATAGGTAATGCTGATTCAGTACCATCTTGTTTTGAAGTCTCATCTAGCTTTTGTTCTTCTGTCTCCAATGGTCTAACCAGGTTGTATCTTATTGGATTTTGTTATGTACGTTAGTATAAGCAAAAACCTTTTAAAGACAAGGAGATTATACAGAGACCATTGTTCATTTTCTGTTAGTCAATTCCAAATACTCTATAATGCTGTCATTCTCTTAAATGGTTTTACATTGTTTTGATATACTTAATGCTACAGTATATGAAGTTGTACTCAAGGACTTCAGGGAGGGAGTCAATATGGTAACTATTTTTAAGTCGGAAATATCTGGTGGTGAAACACTATTCTGCTTAAAAGGTTATGTTTTGATCTGCCCTGTTTCGCTGTTATGCCCTCTTTTTCTTTTTCTCAATCTCCACTCCATTATATACTTTTTTATTGTTATCCATTTAATTAAAGGGAAAAATATAGCAGGATATAATATAGTAACCCACTTTGACTTTCTATTTTCTCGATTTGAAGCCCTGTATTACTCTCACCATCTTGTTTTTGACTGAGGTTCCTCTATTCTGTTTTGCTGAATAGTATCAGGTTCGAAAGTTTAGGCATCAGCTGAGAAGGTAATGAGATTCATTATAACGCCCATTCTCGTTGACTTCTATCTACTTTTGAAGACCTACAATATCTCCAATGTTTTGGTTTTGTCGGTTTTATCCTTTACGGTTTTGTTCAATAGTATTACAACTAATGATATAGGCAATTCTATTAGAAATAGCGGGAGGCATTAGGGTAACCATTGTTGATCACCTTGTATTATGTTTTTATATTATCTATTATATCCACCCTTTTGACTTGACCGATTCTGTTCTGTTATGTCACATTTGGTTTTACTCTCTTCCAAAAAAGCAATAAGAACAGTGGGAGCAATGAAACCCAAAATGTGTAATAGTCACTGTACAAAAGAGAGGAAAAGAAAATGCTCTAAACTATATAACTGCATGTATA